GGGGCGTGAGAGGCTGAAGGGTGCTATGAAATATGGCAAACAAAAACAAAACACCCCGCAATCTGAACTAAATGTTGACAAATCTTGCAATGAAAAGACCACGGCAGTCATTTTGCTCAAAGATCAAGCTATCCTTCTGAAACAAAGGAGCTTAAATACAGGAGGAGAGTAAGCATCTCGCCAGTGAACCAGGATGGTGCTACTTGGCTTCTCACTCGCTTATGATGTGGTGATCACATCACACCCCCAGGTCATGTAGGCTTCCCAAATGGCCAAAGGGAAGACTCCAATCAGGCAAATCCCGGTGACGCTGAAGGAAGCCCCAGTCACCACCCTTGATCTGGGCAACTGGAGCTCCTACAGCCAAAAGATGTGCCTGAACCACTTCAGGCACTAACAACAGACCAACTCCAAGGTCAAAGCCAAATGTGATGTCTGTAGCAAGGCACATAAAGAAGTCTAAAGGAACACAAGAGCCAATTGTCCCAATTGGGTCAAGAAACATCAGCCTAGCTTACTCTGTCAGGAAAGAGGCGGCCCATAGGCAACGGGAGGTGGCCGAGAGGCGACCCGACTTTTCCCTGCCCCCCCCCCCCCGGCACCCACATCTGGGAATAGAACCTTCTCTTTGACAAAATGATATGGCTTCCTGGTGACTGCCGTAGTCACGGCAGTAGCAACAGCTTTATGAAGGTCTAGCGAGGAGGCGGAGAAGGCAGTCCAGGTCACCGGTGCCAATGAACCAGACTGATACAGCCCTGAAGGGGAGGAAGCTAGAAGCTTCCAGACCTACATTATTGTTATTATTATTATTGTTGTTGTTTTTGTTATTGCTGTTGTTATTATAATTATTATCATCATTGTCATGAGTATCATTATTATCATTACTAAAATCATCATTGTTATCATTATTATTGTTATTGTTGATATCGTTATCACAATTATTAGTGTAATTGTTATCATTATCACTATCATTGTTATTGTTATTATTATTATTGCTACTGTTATTTTTATCATTGTCAACATATTATTATTATTATCATAATTATTATTATTAATACTTTTATTATAATCATTTTTTTGAATATTATTATTTTGACTATTATTGTTAATGTTATTAGTCTTATTATTATCATTATTACTATTATTGTTATAATTACTATTATTATTATTATTACCATTATTGTTTTTCATACCATTGTTGTTATCATTATTATTATATTATTATTATTATTATTATTATTATTATTATTATTATTATTATTATTATTATTATTATATTTTATAATCATTATCATTATTGTTTATTATTATTATTATTATATTATATTTTATTATTATCATATATATTATATTATTATATTATTATTATCATTATTATTATTATTATTATTCATTATTTTTTTATCATTATTATTATTATTATTATTATTATTATTATTATTATTATTATTATTATTATTATTATTATTATATTATATTATTATTATTATTATTATTATTTATTATTATTATTATATTATTATTATTATATTATTATTATTTATTATTATTATTATATTATTATCATTATTATTATTATTATTATTATCATTATTATTATTATTATTATTATTATTATTATTATTATTATTATTATTATTATTATTATCATTATTTTATTATTATTATTATTTTATTATTATTATTATTATTATTATTATTATATTATTATTATTATTATCATATCATTATTATTATTATCATTATTATTATTACTATCATTATCATCATTATATTATTATTTCCATTATCATTATCATTATTACTGAAATGATAATTATTATTATCTCTATTATTACCATAATTATTATTGCCATTATTAACATTGCTGTTATCATTATCAATATCATTTTCCCTATGACTGTTATCACTGGTGATCTAACGACATCAGCGTTGTGTACTTCCCTTGAAGAAGAAAATTATAACTGCAATAGTTAATAATAATGTTGATAGCAACAATGATGCTGATAGTGAAAATAATGACAATAATTATAATGACAATAAAGATGATAATGATAATAATGATAATGGCAATAAAGATGATAATGATGATAATGATAATAATAACAAAACACTAACAATGATGATCATAATAACAATGATAACACTAACAATGATGATCTTAATAACAATAATGACAAAATGATAATAATAACAGTATATATGTTGCCAGGCAAGAATAAAATCTAGAATATACTGCTTCACTGTCCGTTCACACGCCACGCTGTATCACACCTGAAGGATGAACCGTATTCATGTTGCCAAATATAGAAAAGGTAGAAGAGGTATGAATGAGAATGAATATCCTCACGACCATCTTTTGCATTGCGACGATATTCATTCTCATTCATGCCTTTTCTACGCTGAAGTCAATGCATTTGGTGTGAAATGGTTTGAGAACAGACAACATATGTGCTATTATTATTATTATTATTGTTATTATTATCATTATTACTTCCGCCAAGAAGGTTATGTTTTTCATAGAGTTGGTTTGTACATTTTTTTTTTTTTTTTTTTTTTTTTTTTTTTTTTTTTTTAGCTGGATACCTCAAAAACTTATGAACAATTTTTCATTATTTTTTTTCTAAAGATGTGTCAACCCAACTTAGATGCCAATAATATTTTATGGTGACCTAGATCATGATGCGGGTCCAGATTTTTTTCTTTTTTTCATGAATGACCCTATTGCCTGGCGTAGGTATGAGTGCTTCTAGTTATTATTAGTATCATTATTATTATCATTACTTTTATTATTACCATCATTGGATCACTATTATTATCATTATTATCACTACCATCATCATCATTATTGTCATTATTATCATCATTATTATACTCTATTAACATATTATTATTGTTGCTTTTGTCATCATTAATACTATTATTATTATCATCATATTATTATTATATTATTATCACTATCATTGTAATTGTTATCATTAGTATTGCAATTATCATTATTGTTATTATTATCATAACCATTATTATAATCATAATTATTATTTTCATCATTATCAATATCAGTTTTCTATGATTGTCATTACTGTTGCTATCATTTTTGATTATCATTATCATTATTATCAGTATTATTGTTGATATTATCATGAATTTCATTATAATTTTTATCATCATCATTATTATTATTATTTATTATTATTATTATTATTATTATTATTATTATTATTATATTATTATTATATTATTATTATTATTATTATTATTATTATTATTATTAATTCATTATTATCATTATTACCATTATTATCATATTATCATTATTATTATTATTATATTATTATATATCATTATTATATATTATTATCATTATTATCATTATTATTAGTTATTATTATTATATTATTATTTTACTATTATGATTGTTATTATCATCCTCATAATCATTATCATTATTATTATCATTATTATATATATATTATCATTAATATTAATATTTTATTATTATTATCATTATTATTATTATTGTTATTATTATTGTTATTATTATTATTATTATTATTATATTATTATTATTATTATTATCATTATTATTATTATTATTATTATCGTCACAATCATCATCATCATTAGTATCCTATATTATCATTATTATCATTGTTTTTAGTGTCTTTACTCTTGTCATTATCATAATAATCATTATTATTATTATTATCATTATTATCACCATCATTATCACTATCATTATTATTATTATGGTCATCATTATTACCATAATTAATTTTATTATCATTACCGTCATCATCATTATCATTATTATTATTATCATTTTCATCATGTGTTGATTTTATAATCATCATTATTATTATTATCATCATCATTATCATTATTGTTACTATCATTGTTACAATTATCATTTTTGAATTATCATTATATTCATTATTATCATTATCATTATCATTATTGTTGTTGTTCTTATTATTGTTACTATCATTGTTACTATTATCATTTTTGAATTATTATATATTCATTATTATCATTATCATTATTGTTGTTGTTCTTATTATTGTTATCTATATTGCTATTATTATTATCATTGATTCTATTATCAGTTTGATTATCATTATCATTTCATTGTCATTATCATTATTATTGTCATTATTATTATCATTATCATTCATTATTATCATTATTATTATTATCATTATCATTATCATTATCATTATTATCATCATCATCATCATCATCATCATTATCATTACTATCACTATTATTATTATCATCATTATATTATTTATTATCATCATTATCATTATTATCATCATTATTATCATCATTATCATTATCACTAGTTGTAGTAGTAGCATCATTATCATTATTATCATAATCATTATCGCTATCATTATCATCGTTATCAACATTGATTTTGTTGATATCATTATATTTTTCGTTAGTAAATCGGCATCCATACCCAGAGTGGTAAATATGCGAATATAACAAGAAATCGATTCTGGGTTTGAATTCTTTATTCCAACGCCAATACATCAAGCACATTTGAATGTTGTAGGAAACTATTTGCCTTCTTTCTTTCTATTATAACACCGTTGTTATGCTGAGTGTTTGTTTCGTTATGCTAGGAACTTGCTTTCCCGACGGAGTGAACGTGGGAAATGGGCCTTAAAGATTCAAACAAGGAAAATCTATGCGTTGTATTCGAAAGTTTTGTGCAGTTGAGGATGCAAATGTGCTTAACTCATTTGCCGTGATTACCCAGTGTACTTGCCATATATCGAAATGGGGAAGATGGTATAGTACATTATACACATGATGAACACAAAAGCAAAATGGCAGTTTAAAAATCCCGCTAGCATTATTACCAACGCATCATTCGGTGAACTAGAAGTATTACTAATGAAACCACTACCAGAGGGCACCGAAAATTGTAGAAGTATCTGTTGATCCTATATTTTGGAAATCAGCCGGGCGATTATTATAAAAGAGTCAAAAGGGTGCTCATTGCCTGAGGTTGGCAGCCCTGCGACCCACAATGCCTGGCGAGAACGACAACAAGAAACATGTCGGCGAGAGACACGAAAGAAGCGCTCTTATTTTGATGATGCAGTAACTCGCGTAGAGTGAGCTCGAATTCTAATGGTTGCGTGTGACTATGGCAGAACCCAGTCTAGATCTTCGCCCCCTGACGGCTCTTGAAAATCTGGTGGGCGTGCAGATAGGAACTCTTCCAATCCCGAGCGAGGCCGAGGAGGAGGCCAAGGCGATGGACGCGGGCCACCTCGCGCCCCTCAAGCTCGTCGAGGAGGATCCTGGGACGCCTGCCACGCCGCCTGCTCCTCCTGGCGAGCCCCTGGAAGATCTGGTGGAGGCGAGCGACGGTGGAAAGGAGGAGGTAAGCGAAGGTGATGGCGTAGACACTGCCCAGGAGGGACAGGAGGAGGGGGCGCAGGACGCGGATCGCCTCCCCGCCCTGGACCTCCCGCAGGACACCTCCAGGGACAGCAACCTTCAGCCGTCTGGGGGGGAGACGGTGGCCCCCGTGGACAGTGCCCTCCCCAATGAAGCCATGCCAGCTGTCAGCTCAGAACACTTAGTGGGGGAGCAGCATGAGGGGGAGCAGTTGTCAGAAAGTGAGCCTATGGAAACAGAGTCGTCCTGGGCTGGCGACAAGGAACCCTTACCAAATGACAGTGGCAATGAAACCTCCGTGCGGGACAGGGAGGCAGAGGAGACCCTTGGGGGCGGGGACTCAAGTACCAGTAGTGGGGGTGGTGAGGGCAGTGTGTCAGGGACGGGAGCGCCTGAAACTGAAGAGCAATTCAGTTGGGACAATGTGCGATGTGTTTTCTGTGACGCAAGTGCGATAGACCAAGAACCTAAACTTCTACCGTGTTTACACTCGGCCTGCAACAAGTGCTTAACCCATGAGGCAGCTGAGCCAGAAATGAACAAAGATGACGAGATAGTTGCAAGTAAGTGCCTGTAATTTTTTCTACTTTTATCTGTGTGTATGTATAAGTGTATATATGTGTCGTATGTGCATTTTGAGTGTTGACCTGTTGCACTGAGGAAGGATAAACCTCCAAGCTGATTGAAGACAGGCTTGATATGCTTTCCCCAGTTGATTTCAACTGATTTGCATGTATCCCCATTCCTGTGGAGATATATGGTATGAAAAAAAAAAGAGTTTTCTGAAAGTTTTGCAAGGCTGTATCCCTGCATGAAGATGCAGTGTATACAACTTTGCAGCAGTGTTTAGTGCAATGTATTAAACAACCTTGACAGGAGGGCTCGGGTCTAGTACTTGGCAATCAAGTACAGGATGCAATGAGTCAGGGCACCTGGTTGTAAATGGATATTCTGTGCAGATGCTATAAATCAGGTACAAAGTGACCCAAATTTCACGGTGTTTATCTTTTGTACAAGAGCTGTTACAAAGAAACTGGTCAACAGCTTCTAAGAAATAGTAATTTCTTTCCTTTTGTTTCATTCTCAAGCATTATCCATTTTAAGTACAGTCTTACAATTAGTTTTTAGTAGAGCAGCATCATTTTGAGATTTACAAATTTTCCACAAATAAATTATTTGATGAAAAGTTTCCTATCAGGTCATAGCCTTTAAACGATTTTTAGAAAACAAATTATTATGTACATGATTTTGGATGTGTGCTTATTTATAAATAACATATTCTAGACCTAGCTTATACAGGAGAACAAAATTTTTGGCATATATATTCTGATGTATTTTTATTGTGTCAGATGGTACATTGTTGAAATGTAATAACATAACAATTTCTTTGCAATTCTCTGCATTATATATTCTATTTAGGAAATGTGCACCCTCATGATTTTTAAACATTTTTAATTAAAAGATTATTGAACCATATTCATGTTGACAAATGTAGAAAAGGTATGAATGAGAATGAATATCTTCACAATACAAGATGTGTTTGACTGGTTTTAATTGTATCTTCATCAGAAATATATGTATTTCTGATGAAGATATAATCAAACTAGTCAAATACTTCCCTTATATTGTGATATTGATTCTCATTTATACCTTTTCTATGAAAGATTGTTATCATTATGTATGTATTTGTTTGTTTGTTTGTGTTTTGTTTATTTATTTATTTGATTGTTTCATTAAGTAAGTGTGTGTGTATGTGTATTTGTTTGTTTATTTGTTTACATGCCTGTGTATATCAGTACATAGTAGGATATATGTATATATACAGAACCTTGAATAAAACAAGGTAATACACTCTTAGTGACATATCCAATCACCGTGGTCTACCGACATCATCAGAGGCCAACAGACTACCACTACTATATTCTGGCAGGATTGAGCTTCTAAGCCTCCCATGGGAATTATTCTCAAAGAAGGAATCCATCCAAACTCTGTCTTTTCTTATTATTGGTTCATTGGCCTCTGCTTTAGGGGTGAAGGTGCATAGGCTATGATAATTATTAGTCATTGCAGGTTTATCAGTAAATCTTACCAAATTGGTGATTCTTTGAAGAAGACTCCAGTTTGTCTGTCCCCCTCCCCCTGCTGCAAAAAAGATGATTTTTTTTACTTTTTGTTTGGTTGTGAGCATTAAAGAGTACAATTTTGCATACCAGAAAATGTGTTTCATTGTCACATCTCATACATGCATAGTGTCAGTAGAGTGGAATTTTTAGAGCTATCACACTTACCCCTCACATTTGAATGAAAATATAAAAGATAGGCTATGTATATAAAACACAGAAAATAACTTTTCTGTTATTTAGAATAATAAAATATGCACTTGGAATTATTTTGTAGTTATCTAGATAGCAAAACAAAAACAATAACAAAAAGACAGCAGTATACCAGGAGGTAACAGAGATACATAATAGTATAGTATGTGGACAGGTAATGTAGGTGGAAAAGATCTGAGATCTGGCTGGATGATATATGCTTCACAGCCCCAGAGTTATTACTTCAGTTCACTTCATTTCATTCTCAGAAGATAGAGGTGGGAAGGCAAGATTAAGTATTTAGCTTTGGCAGAAGGCCTACAAAGAGGGGTGATATCATAGATGTATCTGAAGGAGATTTGCCAGACACTGTCAGACATATTAATGGTCCCAACAAAAGCCTCATACATAATGGAGAAGTCACAGGAAAAATCCTGCCAGTTTTGGACAGGCCAGCTACGTTCATGGCAAATAGGAATTTGGGGGTTTATGTAAAAGAAAGGTCTACATAGTTAAAATCTTTTGGCTTTCAATCAAAAATCTTTAAAATTCAAGAGCACTAGTACATCATATTTAATTACTCTCAATAAGGCTACCTAAGATGAATTTATTTATCTGTTTGATGATAATGATAAAAGTAGTTGCAATTATAATGATTATATCAACCCCAATGATCCAGATGACAACCATCAGGTCATGAAAATTTTTGCTTAAGCGGTTGGTGACATGAACATGCTATCAACGAGAAAAATGTCTGAGGGCTGGGGTTACAGGAACTTGCTGTCATGAGAATTTTGGCTGAAGGCTAAGATAACAGGATTGACTTACAACAAGTGCCAAATAGCGCTTGGAGGATGATTAGACTCAGTGGGCATTTAGGAAAGGGTTCTTGCATTATTTCCATTGCTAAATGAGTATGGAATTTGCCATCTGTGAGCCATGACTGGAAGAGCACCAGCTCTAGGGAGGACACTATTTCTGTGCTCAGGATCATGTTCCTACCTAGAGGGAAGATATGGAGACTGTGCATGGAAAGCAGTCAATAACCATCTGGATACAGCATTACAGTTGACAAATATAGACATTGGAAAATGGAGGAAAAAAAAGTGTAAACACGAGTATTTGTATACCTCTGGCCTACAAGCCATACACAAAGTGGCTGCTCAAGTAAGCCTAATGCCAGTATTTTGGGCTCTAAGCATGTTCACACCCCTCAAACCAATTTTTTTTCATAACATGATGGTCACATCATCTGGAAACTTTACAGTGATCATACTGCCCATGAGGATAAAAACGAAGTTTAAAGATTATTATCATTATGTATTTGTTTGTTTGTGTTTTGTTTATTTGTTTGTTTGATTGTTTCAAGTGTTTTTGTGTGCGCATTTGTGTGTGTGCGTGCTTACATGTGTGTATATGCCTGTGTATATCAGTACACATAAAGAATATGTATATATATATACATACAGAATCTTGAATAAAACAAGGTAATACTCTCTTAGTAACATATGCAGTCACCTTGGTCTACTGACATCAGCAGAGGCTTACAGACTACCACTACTATATTCTGGCAGGATTGAGCTTCTAAGCCTCCCATGGGAATTATTCTCAAAGAAGGAATCCATCCAAACTGTCTTTTCTTATTATTGGTTCATTGGCCTCTGCTTTAGGGGTGAAGGTGCATAGGCTATGATGAGCATTAATTAGCGTTAGGAATAAACAGCATTTTTCACAAAAATACAAGGAATGGGGAAATCAGGTGAGGTTACATTGGCAGTGCAGTTTCATTTGTGGAGCCATTAGTTGGCAAAAAAAAATTCACTAAGCTTGTACCATGTATCCACATACAAAGGGATTGTCGTTGAAGCTAAGCATAGTCATTGCTATACCATACAGAGCTGTGTAAAAGGTATGATGCTGAAAGACATTTGATGTAGGACAACTGTACATACGAAGTACTTCAATATATATATGCCTTCCTCACTGGTTGATAATTTTCTGTTATTCTTCTTTTTTCATTATTATGATTATTACACTTAATTTTTTTATCATAGCTTTTCATATTGATATTGTTGGTTGTCATTATTTGATTGTATATTATTGATAGTTTTTTTATAATAGTGATGTTAGTATTGTGATTATTTTTTTAAATATCCTGATTATTATTACTTTACTATTTTGTTGTTATATTTATTATTATTATTATTATCATTATCATTATTATTGTTATTGTTATTATCATTAACAATATCATTAGTAGTAGTAATAGTAGTAGTAGTATTGTTATAGTTCTTGTTATTATTATTATTGATATTGTTGTTATCATTATTGCTATCAATATTGTTGTTATTTTCATTTCTGTGCATGAAAATAATTATTTATTATTATAACCATCATCAGTAACACTTATTATGATAATCAATACTGTTGTTTTGATCATCATCATCATCATCATCAATATTTTAATTATCAAATGATGGAACTTTTAGTACCATTATTAAGATTATGGTGTTACTTTAACTTGTATTTTGCACATTGACTACTGATTATGTTGATATTACTGTTATCATCTGTTTTTATTGGTTCCTTTGTGTGATCATTATTGTTATTACCTGTGTGATAGGTAATTATATGTATTCTTGATATTCTTGGTAGTCTGTCATGATTATAGTTTCATTTTTGGTTATCATGATTTTTGTTATTATTTTTATCTGGTTTTCATTACTGATTTATTATCATGTCATTATTTGTTATTATTTATGTGTCTGTTTTTCTTTTACATTTTGTATATATGTATGCTTATATTATTTTTTATCAGTATTACAAATATTGTTATTACTAGTTGTAGTGGTATTATAAGTATTATAATTATGGTTGTGTTTCATCCATCCACCTGCATCATATTCCACTTTACTGCAGACTTAAAAGTCAATTACTCATCATCATTATTATTATCATTATCTTTATTATTATTATCATTCTTCATTAAGGCAAGTACACTCCAGTGAAATAGTTAGGCCATCAGTTTATGCCAATTTATTATTTGTATGTCTCCAAGGGGGAAGGTAAAAAATGAGGAAACGGGACTTAAAGAAGAAATGAGAAGGGCAAATGGAGGGAGAAGGGTGAGGGATTTAAGATTTAAAAGATTTAGTTTTAATTCCATTTTTTGCTCTGACATACTGTCTGTTTTATTTTTCCCAACTCTCCCCCTGTGTGCAAGGAATGGCCGGGGTTACCAATCATTGGCC